TCAATATGTTACACGAACTATTAAAAATGTGAATTTCAATAATTTTTTCCGATGAAGTATTATCCAAAACTTTTATTTATAACACCACTGTGAATAACGTTATACAAAAGTACATATAAAATATAAATAGTTTCAATATAAAACATTACATAAAATATTAATAAGATATACATATCAATACTGTGAGAATAAACACATTTTGTTGATACTTAAATACGAGTAGAATTAATCACCAACACTAATTTAAAAGATCAAACGTACCTTGTGAGTATACGCACTAGAATGAAACGCATAGTACAATAAAAAGCGATGAATGCGCTTGCGCGACCATTTATCGAATTTCTCCATGCAAATGTTTTTCCATGGGATATAAACATCTGTTAAATTTCTTTCAATGTTAAATCGATCGTTTAATCATGTTTTTCTTATAAAACAATGATGAATTCTAAGTACTTTAATCTTGTGACGTAGTTGTATTTCGCTTTGCATGCTGGCATATTGAGCAATTGAATATACAATTTATTAAAAGAAAGAAATTTAAATAGTTTCAACCCACAGTTAGTTTAATAACATAAAAAGAAGAGAATAGGCAATTTCTTATTTTTCACGGTTAAACTTCAGTATTTACAACGATGATTTGCCTTGAGACACAACACTTCGGGCTCAATAAATTTCTTTTGCTCGCGATTGGTTTATGGCCTCACCAGAGATCGAAACTTGCTCAAATTCAATTTATCGTACTTTTTACTATTTTAACAACTTTTATTGTGTTTCAGGTCGTAATAAGTTATTTTTAAACGAAACAATAATTAACAGATTAGAGTTTGAAACTTATTAATCACACAAAGGAATTATTCTTTTAATATAAAATTTTCAACAAAATTATTTATTTCCAGTTTACAACGTTTTTGACTTCTAAATGCACTACAGATCTCATTATTAATGTTCTGTCTTCCGCATTTTTCTTCATTTGCTATGCGATTAAATATTATGCGTTTTGGATTAACGTCAATACTGTAAGTAAAATATTTACTATACAATATCCAGAACAAATATTTGTGATAAATAAATCTTCAAATATGACATTTTTTAAATATTTTATACAAAAACTGTATAAAATATTGTTGATGTAATAGATAAAAGTTTCACTAGAACAACTTCAGCATGTTTGTAACGAAATAGAAAATAAAAACGAAATTGCTATCATAGAAAAGTATGGCCGTATAGGGAAACATCAAACGAAAATAATTACGTGTAAGATAGTATATATATGCTTACATTTTAATAATTTATATTAATAACAGTAAAAAATTTCTAAAACTTAAATAAATTTTACTTAAATAAATTCTGGATACATATACATAACATTTACTTTTTAATTTAATGTTAGTACTTGCCGCATGCAGCGCATCTATTTATATCTCACTGCCAATCTGGCCTCGTATATTTGATGTAATTCTGGCTATAAACAATTCCCGATCACGCTCTGCATCGATTCACATTGCAACAGAATATTTTATTGATCAAGAAAACTGTTCCTACTTAATTCTTTTGCATACAAATGCAGCCTTGTGCATAGGAGCAACTGCAATGGTAGCAACAGGCACGATGCTGCTAGCATACTTCAAACATATTTGTGGAATGTTTAGCATTGCAAGGTAGAACACAGTACAATCATTTGTTTTAATAAGTAAAATCTATTCTTCGTTTATTCTCAATCAGATCTAGAAAAATTAAGGACTTACAGAAAAAAATATGTATTCATATAGTTTCCGTATTAAGAAGGCAATGGCAATTAATATGCAACAAGATGTTAATAAAGAACAAATGATTATAATTTATAAAGGAATAATCTGTGCGATAGACATTCATCGCAAAGCTACAGAGTCAGTACACATTCTACAATATCTGTATAATATGTTGTACTAATATTTCTTTTATTTCTAAAGGTTTTCTCAAGATTTTCTAAAAAATTTTGAAGGATCCTTCTTCTGTTTAATAGCAGCTGGTATGATTTGCTTAAGCAGCACTCTTGTACAAGTAAGTTTTATTTTTTGCTATTAAACGTATCTTTCCATGAAAGATACAGTTTTCATAATATTAAGATTAAATAAAGAATCTTTAATTAAAGCAATATGGAAAAATAATTTTCCTTAAAAATAAAATCCATCAAAAACTCATGATTATTCTTCATTTACCTCTTTTTTATAATTATAAGCTATGTGCATTAATCGCATACGTACGTCACAAAAATAATACAATTTTCTAATATGTGCAACCAATAAAGAAAATAATTTATTATGTAATGCAAGTTCTCTCTCTCTCTCTCTCCCTCCCGCCTCCCCCTCCCACTCTCTCTACAATTTCTCCTAAGAAATTACGGAAAAATTATTAAATTTCTTGCATGCAAAAAGTTAAAATATACATATATATAACAAATGTTTTATATTTTTTAGATCATATCATGTAATAGCATAGAGCAACTTGGATTACAACTTATATACATATGTACTATCTACTTGTTCATATTTTTGTCCAATTATAACGCACAAGATATTACAGATCACAATGAATACGTATTTGCTACAGTGTAAGAGACATTTGCATCGTACGTTCATACTTAAGCAATTGTTTTATAAATACTTGTATCAAAAAGCTGAGTTAACAGAAGTATTCAAAAATAATACTATCCCTTGAACGAACATATTATAACAATTTATATTATAACAAATATTTTTATTTTTTCATGTTAAATTTGTATTAATTTTTACATTAATTTATCATTATTTTGTAGATATAATGTTGAATGGTATGTGGCACCGTTACACATACAAAAAATGATGTTATTTCTACTGCAAAAGGGTACAAAGGCTTTTTATTTGATCTTCGGTGGAATATTCATTCCGTCTATGGAAAGTGCTGCTACGGTAAGAGATATATACAAACCTTTTGTTCCCGGCGAATATTATTGTTTAATCGAAAATAATAACATTCACAGCCATTCAATATTTTGACTACTTTAGAATTATTTGAATCATCTACTAAAATAGCTCTATTAAAATAAATTGTGAATAAAATGAAAATTAGCTGTGCAAAAAAAAATAGAATAAAAAACGGAGAAAACTGTTAAATTGGAATTATATATTCATTTGGTGCGTTGCACTCAAAAATATTATACAATAAATCAACATTCCTTATTTGAAAACTGATGGATTAATCCGAAAAAAATGATGATTTAAATAAGTAGATGGATATCACACTCTTCAGCGTTTAAATAAAATTGTAACAAAAGCACTGAAGGGATCAGAACATTTGTTTTATTGCATTAAACTTTGGTTCTTTGAAAATAAAACAATACTTTTACGGAAATAAGCATTAAATTTATGTTACATCATAAATTTTTTAAAAAAGTAGCTTTCGATTTGGAAACCGGATCGCTAAATTGTACCACTGCATTCCTAAAGCATACTGTGCGCACAAAGACGGAAGAAGAAAATAGATGGAACCCTCCGCAATCGTTAAATACATATAATGCGGAATAGGGATATAGTGCCGAAAATTTTTGTTCTACTCCTTCCTCATAAAATCAAAATCAATTTTTTTTAAATTAAATCTCGCTTTGCGTGCAAACTTAGAAGTCTATGTGGAACCGCGCTCCATGCGGAAAGTTGTAAACCCCTGAACAATAAATATAAGACAATTTGAATATTAATAAATAAACGTTAATATATCGCTATAGAAGTTAGTAAAATGTATGAACATATAGTTTGAAATATAGATCATGAAGATGTGACCGCGGCACATGTTTTCATCGCAGTATTCCGGAGCTGTGATAGATTTCCTAACTTCGATATAGTCATTAAGTTTAATACTTAATATCTCGTTTTACAAAGCAGTTCCGCACTTTTTTCTGTCACATTTATTTATTTGTGCAAAAACGCGGCAAATGAGCTAATTTCATCAAAACTTGAAGTGAGATAGTTCTTCTGGATAATTACCAAAAAAGTAGAAATATTGAAACCTTATTCTTCGCAATCCTTATATTCTTCAGAGTTTTTTTGCGTTATAGATCTTTTATAATTCTTCCAATGCTAAAAAACATTAACTAAAAATGCGTACAAACCGCGAGAAGATTATGGGAGCTAGTATCGCTTGCAAAAATCGTCTCGGTATAATATAAAGACCAGCGACAAGTACGAATTATCAAAGTTTTTCTATTTTTTTAAATTTGCCAATAACAACATAACTTACAAATATTTTACTAATTTTATGCTATAATCGGAAAGAATTTAAATATCAACTATCACCCTGTAGTATACTAAAATTCCACCTTGTACTGATAACACTTTAAATACATTGTACAAAGACTGAGATCAGACATCCAACAAAATTAATTTTAAATCTCACTCGTAAACAGACGACACAAAGGCAGAACAAAAATGACAGTTCTTAAGTCATGTTATTAACGTCACATCAATGTCAACACCTTTAAAAAAATGTTTCTTTTAGAAAATACAATGGAGATACGATTTAATCATGGACATGACTTATCCAATTCCACCCTATATCCCTTATGTGGCCAATCAAAAAATCTTGTACCGGGGCCAACCGAGGTACCCGGGTACCTCTATACAAATTTATGGCTAAAAACGTGCTGTAGCCTTAGTTATCTTTATCTATTTGATGGATATTGATTTATTTACCTGGTTGGGGAGGTACTTTTTTTGAAACTCGAAATTTTTTGTGAAAATAAATAAAAAAAAAACTTTCTAATGCATAATTTTATAGGAAATCGGTCAAATAATGGGGATCCGAGACGATTTTAGCCAATATTTTTAAGAAAAAAAGTTATTCAACAAAATGTGCGACCATAGGTACCCGGGTACCTGGTTGGCCACATTAGGGATATTGTCGTTCTATTATTTTAACAAACATTCTCCACACAGCTTCAATATAGCTTCTTACAGAATGAAACAAAAGAAGATATTTTCATTACAGTTGATGGGTACTTCAATATCTTACTTCACTGTTCTCTATTCTACAAGTACGAAATAATAATCGCAAAATAATTAAAATAGGTATGTATACAAATGAAAAAGGTATGGGAAGTAAGAGAGGAAAAAAAAGGAAAGAAAAAAAAATATAAACTAATTTTTTCAAAATCGTTTAACCCTCAGTTTTAGGTGTCACTTGTTAGTATCGCTTAGATTCGACAAAAAATAAAAATTATTATTGAAATAAAAAAATTAACATATTATAAAATATTTATGTAAGAAATATAAAATTTAAAGTTGACATTATATTAATAAGTCACAACATTCAAATATATATTAGAAAGGATCGTACCGCATCTGCGAAGTTTATTATAGCACGATTCCCCCGAATAAAGTATGTATTTCTTTATGGAAAATAAACATCTGTTTCATTATTGCTATAATCAAATCGATCATTTAACAT